TAAATGACAGTGAAACTATATCTTTTTTGCTATCTTGAACAGATTTATCCCGCCATGTTCGACGAGCATTTTCTGGCGCCTTGCTTGGCGACGCTTTGACGTCGCGCAAGACCAGCATTGGCACCAGACCGTACGTTCTCCTCATGAACCATCTCCGCCGAGGGCTGTGGCGGCGAGCGTGCAGGTGTCTCCACCCGCGCCCTACCAGCCCACCAACTCGCTCTCCGTTATTGAGCTGACCAAGGAGTTGGACGAAGCCGACACTGATCTAGCTCCACCGGCGACCGATCAGAGCGACTGTGCGATAAACGTTGTTGCTGAGAACCCTGGAGAGGTTTATGAAAGTCAATCGGTTGGACCAGAAGTGATCGGTCATTTGGGGGCACCGGACGAACAGGAAACACCCGAGATGTGTAACGATCGGGACTCTTTGGATACGTACGGCGATTGTGACAGTTTGGAGACGGTGCGCGGCGAAGTACGTCCTTCCTCCCGAGCGTCCGCCAGGACGACATCCTTGATCCGTTCGGACACCATCGACCTGGGAGTTCCGGTTAGGGAGCATGCCAGATCCGCGATGAGTCTCGCATCCAGCACGAGCAGGAGTAGCATCGGATGGATAAAGAGCGCCTGCAGCGCCCAAAGCAGCGCTCACAGCAGCGCTCACAGCAGCGCTCACAGCAGCGCTCACAGCAGCGCTCACAGCGCCCACAGTAGCCCCCGCAGCAGCGCTCACAGCGCTCACAGCAGCCCCCGCAGCAGCACGCACGGCAGCAGCCACAACAACGCTGACAGCAGTGCTCACAGCAGCGCTCACAGCAGCGCTCACAGCGCGCACAGCACTCAAAGTGCGCCAAGCCGCTCCAGCCCTCGTGGCAGCCGATCGTCCGCCTGGTCCCTGCCCTCCGCGGCCCCGCGACGCCGCTCACTGCTGCCGCTGAGGGTGGGCCCCAAGCCGGCCGCCGCCGTTGCCGCGGGCCTCCCGTTGGCGCCGAGGTGCGTCGTCATGCGCGCTCAGGGATGCACTCGGTGCACTGCCTGTACCGACCGTGTGCCTCCCCTCGCGCAGGTTGTCGCTGCCGTCCTTGGCCTCCAGACCCGCACGCTCGCGCGGCTCGCGCCCTCAGAGCTGCGCGTTGACGGGCTTGCCGTCCTCACGCCTCCCCATCCCCCGCCCGCTCAACGCCCCCACGTCCACGGCCAACGCCCAGGGAGACGGCGAGGCACACCTCGCGGCTCCCTTATCCAGGCCGCGGTTCGCTACTCCCTCGGGGGGCGAAGCCTTCCGGGCCGAGAGCAGCACATCTACGCCGTCCGCTCTTCCAGTCCGTGCCGACGCGGGGGTTGGCGACGGCGAGCTGGCGGCTGCCAACTCCGCTGCCCACCGGCTGGCCCGTACCTTGCAAGCGCATGCCGCTCGGAGGGACTTCCACAGGATCGCGAAGAAGCAGGCCCAAAGTCCCGTCACCCTAGACGGGCCAGTGGAAGTGGCTCTCCCACGGGCAGGCGGCGTCTCCAGCCTCGCCCTCCAGGCTAAACTGGACGAGTTGTTCTACGGGGACGTAAGTCCGTACGCTGCTCCGCCTCTGTACTTTTACCCCGTGTCGGTACACGTCTTGCTGCGCAGGTGGCCGTGCGGCTGGCGGTGGAGCCGGCGGCGGCGATGCTGGGGGTGTGCTGCCCGGGCCTGCTCTACTCGTGTGCGCTGGCGGTGACCAACAAGGGCCGTGTGGCCGTGGCGCTGGCCGCCGAGCCCCCCGCCGACCTACGGAAGCACGTGCGCGTCAAGCCCGCGGCCCTGCGCCTGCGCGCCGGGGAGCGACGCCGCCTACAGCTGCAGCTGTGCGCCAGGTAGGTGCAGCTGCACGTGGGAACACCTTTGGCTAACCGCTAAAGGCTAATCGGCTGCCCCGATCCCTTGGCCCTCCCCCTCACAGACGGTCGTTCTCCCGTGATGCGCAGAAGTACACCTGTCAACTTTCGGGGGTGACCCAGTTTCCCGTGGAGATCGTCCCCATCTCCAATTCTGCAAGCGCCCACCCCAAGCTCACGGTGCAAGTAAATGCACAGGGACCGGCATGGACCTCTGCCACTTGGATGCACTTGTGTGGAGCGCGTCTGAGGGCTTTGCGTGTTCAGGTTCTGGTGGCCGTGTCGCCCCCGCAGCTGGAGGTGACGCCGGCCCTCGTGGACCTGGGCAGCGTGGTCACGTGCGAGGAGGCCGTCACGGCTCACATTCAGCTTTCAAACCGCTCCCTCATGAAGCAGACGTACGGCTTCTTGGGCGTATCCGAGGTACCTGTCTCGTCGTGCTGCGTCCCGGACACGCGTAACAAAGTAACCAGATGGATAAACCGTCGTCTCACAGGAACTGAGCGTGGAGCCGGGCGGCGGTTTCGGCGACCTCCAGCCCGGAGAGGTGGCCGACTTGATGCTGGTCTTTAGCCCGCTGGGCGGGGAGGGTCCCCGGCGTGTGGAACTCCGCGTCGACACGACGCTGGGCGCCGCGGCCTCCAGGTTCGGCTCCAGGCCGCTCTCCAAGCGCCGCCTCCGGGGCGGGGGCAAGGTGCGTACGGCGTCTCGGACCCTGGTCTCGGCCGCCCTTTACAAGGCTTGCTGGAAGCCCCGCAAGGATGCTGGCGGTCGTGGGCTCCTCTAGTGTCTTCCTGCTTTGTCTTTCAGGTGGCTGCGGCCAGCACCTACGCCTGCTCGGTCCGGATCACGGCGGATGTCATTTCACCCAGACTCCAGATCTCGGCGCACAGAGTTTCGTTTCCGCTGACACCTGTGGGATCCCACTCCACGACCGAGTTCACTATGGTGAGGTCTACCGAAAAACAATCTAGTGCGCCGTAAGGTTCCTCCGCCAACGAAATATTTCCTGCTGATTGAATCCCAACAATACTGCCCGAAATTTTTTCAGACATGTCTAGCCTCTGAGGCCCGCTTCTCCTTCAAGACCCCCGACGACCAGCTCCAAGTCATCCCACCTGCAGGCTCTCTCCTACTCGGTCATGTAAGTCCCTTGCCGCTGGGCGCCTCCCCGCCGGAGAGGTAGGCCGCCCATCGGGCGTGAGCGGTGGAGGGGCGGCGCTGTGGTCCCCGACCCGGCGGGCCCGGCTCTAATGTGGTTGTGTTGTGGCACCCAGCGCCTGCGGGTGGTGCTGCTCTATCTGCCAAGGGCGAGCGCACTCGCGAGCGGAGGCACCGATGCAGACCCCGACGCAAAGGTGAAGAGACGCCCGCTCCTTGACATTGCCTGCGCCGATTGATTCCCTGTTACAATCATTTCCCCTTTCTCAACCAGACTGAGGCCCAGATGCGCGTAATTTGCGAGGCGGAGACGACGGTGGACGAGGGCGCTGAGTGGTGAGTATGCCATCGTTATGTCAGCATTTATTTTTACAATTACTTTTTTCAGTCGAGGAAACCCCTTGGTTTTGCGAGGCGCGACAACCACTTCCTTTACCGGGGACCGATAGTACACACTGGTTTGTTTACTCGCCGAGTGACACAGTTCCCGATGTGTTTCCTTCCACACCGCGTGCCCTTTCACGCCTTTCCCCGAATGTGCTTAAATGTTAAATCAATTCTTCCCGCGTCCCTGTATGCCCGTGCGGCGTGCCGCCACGGTGGCAGGCTTGCCCCGGTCACTCTTATCTGATCCGATATCATCGATCCCGATCTGGTGGTGAGCGATTCTGTGCCAGCCGGGGCGCCTGCTCGGGCGCCGGCCGGTACATACTGTGCTCTGACGTCACGCTGGCGTCACGCCGTTCCAGACTCCGCGGACCAGAGCCGTCGCGTCACACATGTTTACAGTAACGCCGGTGTGAACTTGGGACCCCGCCACTTTCGCGAAAGACGCATGCTGTGACCCACCCCTTAATTCAAAGAAAAAGTTGAAATAAACATAACCACATTTCATTGGGGATTCCCGAGTACTATAATGTGTTGCGAACAGGCCCGCATGAGACCGTGCCTCTAAACCTGTTGTCGTTATGTCACCCGCAGGCGGCGCGAGTCGCTGCCCGTGCTGGCGCTGTGCCGCGCCGCGCCCGCCTCCCTGACCCCCGTGTCGCAGGCCGTCGGGTTCGGCGCGGTGGCCGCCGGCTGCACCGCCTGCCGCGTCGTGTGCTGGCTCAACGCGTCGGCGTCCTGGCTGCGTGTGCGGCCCGCCCTGAGCGCCCAGGCCCACTCCGGCGACGGCGGCGGCGACGGCCAGCAGGAGGCCTTCCGCTGGCCCACCCTGCCCGTGCTGCTGCCCCCAGGGCACGAGCTGCACCTCCCCGTCACCTTCACCCCCCTCAGCGCGCCCGGGGCCGCGCTAGAGGTGAGGCGTTGTCCGCAGTTGTAAATTCGCGTAAAGTTAATATCCCAAGACCACTTCCTATGAAGGATACGTTTTTTAATGGGCAGCCGTATAGGGAGCGAAAAGACAGCGAGTTACGTAACAATCGCCACAATACTGTGAACCCTGCAGAGAGGATGATAGATAACTAAGTTCCGAATTATGTCGGTCGAATGTCGGTCGAATGTCGGTACTCCAAGATCAGATGGCCACGTGGCACCTGCGCCGCCAAAATGTGTTCTTATTTTTTTTTGTACATTCGAGCGCACTGCTCAAAACAATGAAGTGCACGAAAAATGTCGAAAAATTAGGTACACATTTGTGTGGGTGCGTCATTTATTATGTTAGATGCTAGCGGTACCGTCGTCGCGCCGACACAGGCACCTAGCCCGCCAACTAGTTGCCGGGTGACAGGCGCCCTACGCTCACCCCGCGGTGGAGCGATCAGGCGGAGCAGGCTGAGGTGCGCGAGGGCGCCGCCGACACCTCCACGATGAAGCCGCGCGCCCACCGCGAGCCACGAAAGAACCCGCGCCCGCCCCAGACCTCCGAGATGGTCTTGAGCGCCGTGCGCGAGCTCGCGGGGGCTGCGGCGGCGGAGACGGCGGCGTCCTCGGGCTCCCCGGCGGTGCAGGGGGCGCGGCCCCGGGACGTAGTGCGCTACATACGGCGCGAGTACAACGTGCGGGCGGCCTGGGTCAAGCGCGACGTGAACAACGCTCTGCGCTGGGGCGTGGAGTACGGGCTCCTGACGAAGCCGCAGTGGGGCGTGTACCTGCCCGCGCCCGCGTCGCCCGCCGAGCTCAGCCAACAGGCACGGCGCGAGAGTATGCTGCGCCGCGCCGTGGAGGGCTTCCGAGAAGCAGGCCTCCTGGCACGCCTCAACCACATCGGCATGAACCCGGACCCAAACCACGACGACGCGGCGGACGAGCCCACCTTCGGCGACGATGAGGCGGACGAGCCAACCTTCGGCGACGATGAGGCGGACGAGCCCCACCCCGATGAGGAGGGCAACTGCTAGGCAGTGACGAGGCGGTCGGTCGTGGCGGTGAACGGCGGCCCTGGAGCCCCCAGGGGAAGCTGGGGGTGACGGAGGCCTTCTGGACCCGCAGGCGTCCGGCGTCATGGAGTTGCAGTACCTCGCGGCGGAGGCTCCCTGGTCGGGGTCGGGCGGCCGCGCGGCCCCGGCTGCGGAGGTGGCGCCAGGGGTGGCCGCCGCGCACCTGTCGGGGACCGTGGTGGACGCCCAGTACTGCATCGTCCCCGACGCCGCGGTGGTCCGCCTGACCGCGAGGCGCCGCGTCCGCCGCAAGCCCGACAGCGCCGACTCCCCCGACAGGATCATCTTTGAGGTGAATGCGACGGGCCTCGGCCAATGCTCGCTTGGGCCCCGCTGAGAACCTCGTCCAACCCCATTTCTTGCAGATCCGGAACACCTGCACCGCGCCCCTCGACCTGGCGGTGGCCGACCTGCGCGTTTTCGACTTGGGCCTTCGATCACCCCGAGCGTCCCGGGAAACTGCAGACGCAGTGGCCGACGGCGCGTCCGCGCGCACGGATGTGGCCGACGTGGCCAAGGTGTCCAAGACCATGACCGACGCTGAGCGGGCTCTCCTCAAGCAGTGCGCTGCTTCCACTCGAGTGGATGGCGCCTGCCCCTTCCAAGTCCGCCCGGAGCCCGAAAGAGTAACGACCGTGGCAGCAGGAGCCCAGATGTCGTTCTCTGTACGATTCGTGCCGCCCATCTTTGCCAGGCAGTACATCGCCACCTTCGAGCTGCGCCTGGGCAACGGCAGCACCGCCAAAGGTATTCGGACGTTCACATGTTTCGGGAATTCCAGCCCGGAACTTGTGCAAAAGAACAAACCACCAGACGTCCAGCACTAACAATTATAATTGCAAGTGACACTGTTCAGGGGTTAATTATCTTATCTGAAGAGTTACTTGTTGATCTCTCACAAATAAATGCTCTAGAAAATGTTATAATGAATAATTTATTACAAATGTACGCTATTTACATTGATTAGGATACCAAAAATAAAACATGATTTTCATCTCATCTATGTACAACTACATGTAGTTTAAGGAAATAACAGCTCTGTCCAGGAAGAGATATTAAAATTGAAGTAAAACTTCAGTTTGAATTCCTCTTACTGGATAGAGCAAGTTTAAGGAAACCTAAAAAAAATTACCATTCATCAAGAATCAGGAATTTCCATTTTGCTAAGTCGTAGGATGAAGTCTAATAAGAAAATTTGTACTTTTATCTCTGCGCTACTCATAGTGACATAAAAACCTGGAAAACCTGCCTTTTCAAGAGTTTCTTGCTGTTCAGCAACCTTCAAAAGCAAGAGTTGATAGGAAATGAGACCCACAAAATAAGGATTTCGCACAAAAAAAAATTGCCATGGCCAAATTTTTTAAAAAAAATTCTGATCTTACCTTTTGATCTAGTTGTTTAACTAATTTCATATCGACATCAATAAGTTGTTTGCGATGCTTACCAGCCATAGAAGAACGAATACTTTCATGCTCAGAGGGAGGAACACCTTCTAAGGCTTTTGCTGTTTCGGCTGCAGGTAAGAATGAATTGGAAAATTGGCTGACCTACTTCGCACACTTTGCACAGGGCAGTAATATTGAGACCAAAAATTTTGATAGTATACTTACACAGCTGCTTATCTGTAACTTTCTGCCTTAAATGAATGAGATATTTTTCTGTGACATGCTGTATATCCATTAATCCTTTCACAATTTCAAAATTAATACTATTAGTCAAACAGTGGGCGAGGTTGGAGCACAATTCTATTGAGATCTTTTTCTGGTACTTCCTGTGATAAAAAATGTGTGCAATGAGACATTCACAGTAAATCTGAGGTGTAATGTAAGTTGCAGTAAAATACAAATAAAGGACAAACAAACCTCGGTATATCTGCAAGCATAGCTTTCAGCTGACCGAGGTAAAATTCATACCGTACTTGCACTTCCTTTGCAAGTTCCGTGTCGTCAGGCGTCACTTCTTCAACCATTTCCATTGCGGTTGGAAGAGCAACAACCATTTTACGAAGGAGACATTGGAAATCGGAATTGATATTTGACAGTTGACAATTAACAGAGGAACCTAACCTAGTACTTTGATTGTATACAAATGCTGCGCATAACGCGGTCAGCTCGTATTCACCGCACGCCCACGGTCTGCACGTATGAGAAATTCTCGTTCATGATTTCCCGAGCCTTCTGCGTATAGCAGGCTTCACGGCGCACGCGCCGCGCGCCACTTTCAAACCGGTGCGCGCGCCGCGTCGCCGCATGGTGGCGCTTAGAGCATGATGCAGTATTTGTTAGTGTTCTGCTTTGCAAAGACAATAAAGCGTGTTCGTGGAAACGACATGTGCAGTACATCATTCGCCGTTTACGAAACTACCAAGTTCAGCCTCTGCAAACACTCATCATACCTGATAGGTAGGCTTGGCAACATCTTTGCCTGCATCACATTCGTGAAACTGCCAAGTTCAGCCCCTGCTGTTGTGTATTCGTCATAAGTGAGTCGTGAAACGGAGGAAGGGCATAACTGTTATCCGATAACTCGACTTATCCAAATGACCTCTTGTTTGTATTTTAAAGCCATTTGGTGCATCACAAGTACCACACGTCACCATCAGAAGTGAACCTGTATCATAAAGTTAATATCCCAAGGTGACTTCAGAGACATATTCTGATGCACCAAACGGCAGCAAAAGTCACACAAGAGGTCATTTGGATAAGTCGATTATCCCATTATCCCCCTCCTCCCGCTTCACGGCTCAAGTTGTCTACACGTTTGATCGTCAGCTGTCATTTCTGATAAATGTCCTGTCACAAAGATCCAATAAACAGTCAGTTGTCATCGTCACCAGTTAATTTGTCGTCCACTGCCTTGCGATGGTTCCTCTCCCTCGCCCGCTGACCACAAGTATCTATGGTCCAACAACTTCATAGAGTCAAGATCACGACCCATTAATTCGGAATACCTGCCAGCGAGCTCTCACAGCGCCTGATAGGTAGGCAACATCTTGCCTGCATTGCATGCGTGTACTGCGGGGCGGCCTACCACGAGTCTCGCAGGCGCACAGCTCCCGGGACTGACACGTCCTTATTTGTGGCCACACAAATGTGGCGCCGTAAGCGAGTTGGCAAACCCGACCATTCGGTGCCGGTCGTCCTTCCTGGCCCGGCGCCTGCCGAACGGTTTTGCTGGCGCAGCGAAGCGGAGCTGGCCTGGCGACTGGCGACTCCGTTTGGCGGAAGGACGAGCCTGCTTGTTAATCATTGCCCGATTGAGGCGGAAAGGAGGGGCATGTCCGCGTCTGTCGTCTTCCGCGCACTGACACGACTCATCCTTATCTTTCGACGATATCCAGGGTTACGGATCTTGCTGTCCTTCAAAAATCATGGATCTGTTGCATGTAGTCAGTCAGGTTCCGGGCTGGGAATAAAAAGTCCGTCTGAAAAGTGGAACAATGGGGAAAAGACACAAATTTGGCTAAATTGAATTAAATTTTGACTGTCTTTCTGCAAAGATGCTATCTATATCGCACTTTTTGTGCGGCTATACAGTAGAGTAGATTGTGAGCATTACGGGCGCATTATTGTTACAGTCTTACGAAGAAAAATGCCAAATCCTTCGTAATACGAAGGATTTGGAAGTTTCGTAGGTACGAAGGGTTTGGCATTTTGCTCGTAAGGTTTTAACTGTGCGTGACGCGTGACGTCATGGGACGTTTTGTGCTTGCCCGGCTATTTTTTGCCGTTACTTTTTTCCCGAAACTCTCTCTCTCTCACACACACACACTATGAGAAAGTAGTCACGAGAAGTCATAACCCGAATCATGACGTCTCGTTGAAGAGGCGAGGCGTTGACCTAACCACACCGATGATGGCAGCTCCACCACCGCGGTGGGCCGGGGGACGAACGCCCACCAAACACTGCGTGTAAACCCGTTCTTTCTAATCGTTTCGGTATGCGTTCGGTCGCGACGCGGTTTGGAGTCCGACATTCATCCACGGTCTTGTCATCGCATTCCGCAGCCCGCTGATACTCCTCCCCCTGTTCAACGGTCCCGTAATAGTGTTGATGCGATCAGGCAGACATCAGCTCTCGCGGCGGCGCGACGCGGTGGGGCGACTGCACTAATGAGTTTTCTCTAATTTTTCTCCGATATGCCAACATTTCTATCAAAGGGGTGTGGGGGTGTGGGACAGGTGGGGGCGGCGGTGGCTAACCACCATGTCGCCCTGCTGGCCTGGCTCGTCCTGGCGCGGCTGACAGAGGGGGCTTATGCAGCGTGGGTTGCCTACATACAGGAGTTTCACTGATAAATTAATTGTTCGGCAACTGGCGTGCACAAGTGATCAGTGCTCAACATTACGTTGCACACTGTTGGTGGATATTTGAATACTGAAGTGTTTAACAGTAAAGTTGAATACTTACGTGTTTACCAGTAAAGTTGAACATTTAAGTGTTTAACAGTGAAGTTGAACGCTGAAGTGGTCACCAAATTTACCAAGTATGTTTGTATCACAAATTCCTATGTACACCGTAGAGATGAACACTTAGTCAGGCTCTCTAGAGATTGAGGGTGGTGGTGGTAGGGA